TCTTTCCCTTTTCCCTTCCCAGGGTCTGCCCGGTCCTGCTGGCCCATCTGGTGAATCTGGCAAGCCTGGTGAACAGGTAAACACCCACCCACAAGCCATGCACAAGCAGAGTAGCCCAGCTTTGGGTCATCAGCAAAGGCTAGACCCCTATGCCAGGCACACAGCTTGCTTCATCGCCCTTCCTTAGCTCCACTCTTGGGCCTGGCTCCTCCTATGATTTAGAACTGGTGCCCATTGATTGAGAGAGCTTCCCTCAGGGCCTCTCGTGGCATTAGATCTATTCCTGATCTGTTCCTACCCCAAGTGGAGATGTTCCTCCAGACCTGGCTCTGTTTCCAGAGCATCCCTCTTTACAAATTAACTGGGAGAGTGGCTTCTATATTCCCCCAACAGCTTCTCTCAGGGGGCAAGACCAGGATAGCACATTCCAGGTGTCCAGGGCACTCCACCCATTTTCCCTGACATACCTTTTGGCTGGAGCTGGGCCTAGACCATAGATCTATATTCCTATACACTGTGGAGATGAGGGCTTATCATTAGGATCCAGGCCTGAATTGGGCCACTCAGGACCCCTTTTTTTTCAATCCAAGGAGATGAGTACATTCCCTGCTTGGAGGATGACCCTTCAGCTATGAGCAAAAGTTCTTTGTTTAACAGCTGGAGTGGCTTCTGTTGGGGAGGCCATATCCTGGCTTTGCTTGTGCATAGCTGGGTGCTCCAACACGGCTGGTCACTCCCATTTGTGAACCATAAAGAATTTTAGTGGCAGGGTCAGGTCTTCATGTGTGGCAGTTACCTGGAACAACTGGCCTCAAGCTCAGTCCCTCTTCCACCCCAGGCCAGTCAGAGTCGTGTCTTGGTTTTCCTACTGGGTTGTATACCTTCCTGCCAGTTCAAGATGCTAATTATGCCTTGCTTTCTCTCCCATGACAGGGTGTTCCTGGAGATGCTGGTGCTCCTGGTCCAGCTGGTGCAAGAGTAAGTTGATATCCTTCCTGTGTTCCATGCAATCTTGTTCATTTTTCTCCCATTTGTCTGGATGGAGCTGTAACTGGCTTTGTTCCTCTCTCCTCCTCCTCACCTTTTCTAGGGCGAGAGAGGTTTCCCTGGTGAGCGTGGTGTCCAAGGTCAACCAGGTCCACAGGGTCCACGTGGTGCTAATGGTGCTCCCGGTAACGATGGTGCTAAGGTATGGCATTATCTCCTCCTCATCCTGAATAAAGGTGCTGCTTTGACTCATGGGTAAAGAACACCAAATAAGAATCAGAATGGCTGCATCCTGGAGAGCCAGGAGAAGAATCAGTGCCTCTAAACTGATTCTGAGACTCCTGGGATGGGATACAACCCATCTTGCTTTGGAAGGGAACTGACAGTCAGTGTCTTAACCAGCCAGTAGCAACCTTGAACAGGTGCAGGGCAGGAAGGGGCTTCCGTCTTGTCCATGTGAGGTAGCACCCACCCTGCAGGTGCTCATGGCTTGGCTGTACCAGGCTCCTATCCTTTCTGACCAGGCCACAGTCATTCGCTGTGCATGACTACACAGAAGGCCTAATGAACCTTGCCTAAGACAGGAAGCCCAGCCCCAGAGAGCCAAGCTGTGAATGGCACAGAGTCACAGCTGGGGGAGGGATGTTAGGCAGCTCTACCTCTAGTAAGGAAACAACTCAGTTTTACCTTTCACTTCTGATCTGCTCTAGGGTGATGCTGGTGCTCCCGGTGCTCCTGGTGGCCAAGGTCCTCCCGGTCTGCAGGGTATGCCTGGTGAGCGTGGTGCTGCTGGTCTGCCTGGTTCCAAGGGTGACAGAGTGAGTATCAGCCCCTCTTGTATCTCTCGGTCTTTGCCCTTAGCCTATGGACCCTGCATGAGACCCTCCTGCCTTGACCTTCTCTGACTTCTCCTCACCCTTCCTCTGTATTCTTTTCTCCACTTCCTTGTGTCTCCTCTTATTTTCCATTTCTCTCTCTGTCCCTTTCTTTCAGTCTCTCTCTTTGCGCCTCTCTTTCTGTTCTCTTGTTTTTGCCATCTCTCTCCCCTTCTTCCACTCATTTCTTGTGTCTATAACCCCTTCTCCATCTCTCCATCCCTGCTCTTACCTCCTAAGAGAGCAGCAGGTAAGCCTGGCTTTCATGCTGTTCCAAGGGTAAGGTGCACTTGTCCAGTAGTGGTTTTAGACCAAAACAAAATAAGCCAACCATGGCCTTTCAAGGTGTTTTTGTCACTTCTGGTGGTAGAGCCAAATGCCCATGTTGAAACAAGTTCAAGTTCAAGCCCTAGCCCAGAGAGGGGTGTCTCTTGCCCAGCATCTGACTGAGGTCCCCTCTTCTTGCCTTCTTATCATGAGCTGGATATTGGCAGGAAGTCTTCCCCACTAGCTTGAATGTAATTGACATTTTGAGGCCTGTGCTTCCTCTTTCCAGTAGGCGGAGACTAATTAATGCATCACCCTGAAGCCAAAGGGGTTTGGGGATGCTCTGCATCTCTTGGGCATGACTGACCCACCACAGGGCAGACATGCAACCTGAGGACTAGGGTGGAGAAACAGGAAGATCTGGTGTTTCCTAAGAAGGTAGTAAACAGATATGCAAAGGACCAAAGAAACAAACACACAGAGACGTGTTTACACACGAGTGTGCAAGTGTGCACAGAGGTGCATGGATCTGCCTGTGTACAAACACACACACAGAAACACTCACAGACACACACCCAGCCTGGCTGAAGGCCCCACCCCATTCAGTGCTCTGGAATGGGAAGTAACATTGCTTTGTCTTCTCTCTCTCCAGGGCGATCCTGGTCCCAAAGGCACTGATGGTGCTCCTGGCAAAGATGGCGTGAGAGGTCTGACTGGCCCTATTGGTTCTCCTGGCCCAGCTGGTGCCCCTGGTGACAAGGTAAGAATTGAACCTTTCCTTTCTCTGCCCCCACAGAAGGAGCTGGGCAGTCTCTCTGCTCACCTCCCAGACACCTGATCTGGCACCTCCTCCTCCTGGTACTTGTACAAAAGCCAGCCCCATTGGTTCCCAGCTTCCCTTCGATCAGCTTTTGTTTCACAAGGGACAGAAAAGAAGGCCCCTGCAGTCCCTTCTACACACTACACCCTACAGGGACAGAATGTGGGGTCTTCCTCACTGTCCCCATGAAATGCCATAAGCCCCCAGCTTGCCATACAGAGCTGTGCCTAGGCAGCTTTTCTGCCCATCCTGTCCAGAAAGGAGATGACATGTGTCTCTCTGTGCAGGTCTTGAAAGTGAGCCCCACCCTACACAGCCTTGCCCCATGCAAATCTTCAAAGACTTTTTCTTATACCTTAACCTCATCCTTTTTCTTGTCTTGCTCAGGGTGAAGCTGGTCCTTCTGGCCCTGCTGGTCCCACTGGTTCTCGTGGTGCCCCTGTAAGTACCTTTCCTCTGGGATTCTCTTCAGACCCATCCTTGTCTCCATTCCCCACCTAGTTGGGGAGATGTCCATCCTTCCATTGCTGACCATGTCTCTCTCGGCATCTCTTCTAGGGAGATCGTGGTGAGCCTGGTCCACCTGGCCCTGCTGGATTCGCTGGTCCCCCTGTAAGTATGTCCAGGAAAAGGCAGGTCTTATTACTAGTCACTGGGAACAGTAGTTCCTTTCCTCACCCTGAGCTCCTGCTGGAGGAGGGTACTCAATAAGTGGTGGGCAAAACCCTTTGTTTCCCAAATGTGTGGGGTGGGAACAAAGCTGCCCAGCATGTGTTGTCCAGACACTGCAGTACTGGGTGTGTTACACATGGCTATGGAGATGGGGCCCATCCCATGCCTGTGAAGTTACCAGGTAGTGTCCTGCCACTGCATGAGAAAGACTCCCATCTGGACTTGACTAGGCTTTCCCCAGGGAGGGAGCATCGTGCTGCTTCTAGTCCTGACACCTGACTGCTCCATGAAGGGCCATTCCCTCCACCTCCCTCACCACAGTGTACTGTTTCTGAAACAGTACACTCAGACACTGCTGCTCACCCTCTGTTTTGCTCTCCCCCACAGGGTGCTGATGGACAACCTGGTGCTAAAGGTGAATCTGGTGATGCTGGTGCTAAAGGTGATGCTGGTCCTCCAGGCCCTGCTGGACCCACTGGTGCTCCTGGACCTTCTGTAAGTAATGCTCCAGTTCCCAGGTGTCTCCCAGTTCAGCCAAAACTCCATTGTAGCCTCTGACTTCATGCTTATTCCTGTTTTTCAGGGCGCTGTTGGTGCTCCTGGACCCAAAGGTGCTCGTGGTAGTGCTGGACCCCCTGTGAGTATTTCCTCCACCGTTAAGCACAGTTTTGTGTGCCACAGATACAGAAAGGGGTTGATATTTACAGTGTGGCTCCATCCTCTTCCCAGTCATGGCCATGCACCTTATTGCTATAGGGACAAGTCTTTGGGGGAAGCCCACAAGTCTGTTGCAAGTCATCCATTACCTTGCACTAGGAAATAGCCAAGAGCTCCTGTCTGGGCTCTTTGCATTCTGCAGTAGACAATTTTTGTTTCCTTTTGGATTTTGCTTCCCTCACAAAAAATTGACTATGGGGTGACATTGGTTTATGTGGTGGGAACCTGCCTTTTGAAGCTGCCCTTTGAAGGGACCTGCTTTCCAACCTAAGTCTTTACAAAAGAGACAATTTTTAAGGCTCAGAGTACTTGTTGGTGTATTTTTTTTGGCCTTCGGACAAAAGAGAGTCTGCTTTTGCAAAATGCAAAAAAAAAAAACAAACCAAAAAAACACCCCCCCCCCCCCCCAAAAAAATTAAAAAAACCCCCCCCCCGGGTCTTAAAATATT